CAGATGAAATTCATGAAGTTTACCAGTTAGACTAGGTATGCCCTGAGGTCTCTTCCAACTGGGCAGTTCCATAATCCCATGATTCTACTAGACGGAATTGCCCAAGGTCACAAAGCCACATAGGGAGTTAGTCTGGATTATGTTACTGACAAGGAGTGCGACTGACTCTGGGGAAGTCATTGGACATCTATTTATAGGTCTCAGTTTCCTCCTGAATGGGTCCAATTAGACAAGCTCTAAGGCTCCTTCCAGCTAAAACATTTTAATTGGTTTATGGCATATAGGAGTAAATAATTAAGGTTATTCTTGCTTGGTTTTTTTAATGCTAAAATTTTTAGGAAATTTTTGCAGATTAACAATGACTAAAACTCAGTCTACTGGTTGAGTGTGTTATGACAGCTTACATTGATTATTTTAAAGCTAAAAAATAAATTTGAGTCAAATTTATTTAAATTTTAAAAAATAAAACATTTCATCTACAGAAAAGCCCAAAAGACTATAAACATTATCCAAAAAGTAAAAATATTATATAAGCATAAATAGACTAAAAGATATGGCACAGGCTTTAACGAGCTGGTTATTTATTCCTAACTAGGCCATATATGCCTTATAAGTTTTGGCAAGTCATTTCACAACCTTCTTTTAATTTTCCCTATATGCAGAATGTTGGAAATCATATTTATAGTACAGCATAATATATTATAACTTATGAAAAACAAAGGTTCTAAGTCATTTGAGAAAGAAAATATGAAAATAAAAATTACTTTTAAAAACTCTTGTATTCTGTCTCTCCATTTGGCTTGCAAAAGGGTGGAAAATGAACCAATAAGGAAAACAATAGTTCCCAATCATGTCAAGCATCAAGACTACTTTCTAACCTCAAAAACGTTTGCAGACCTCTATACGATAGTCGTAGTGTTAGAATTTGCTGAGTTAAGAAAATACATAACAAAAAGCTACTATAAATTCAACAACACTTTTAGATAAATATGTATTTTAGTAGTTTCAAGGACATCTAAACACATTTGAAAAATTGTGTGTGTGTGTGTGTGTGTAAGAAATATTGTTTCTAAAAGCTACAGAGATAGTTTATTTATTGATTATACTAAGTCATACAAGAAGATGTGCCCCCTGCAATCACCTTGCCAACCCTCTAAAATCTGGGGACAGTTTGGTAACCACTGCATTAGAACAAGGTTAATTCTTACATAAAACTTTTAAAATTAACTACCAAATTTCACTTAGCACTTCAAGATGCTCAGCATTCTACCTTGGGTATACGATGCCCAGGGTCAGCATCTCCGTGAGGTTACTTAAGTTTCTTGAGGCTCGAAAACTGCCGGACTGTCTACAACCCCACGCGTCTTCAAATACTTTCTCCTTCAATTCTTTCAGCTAATGGCACTGTCAAGTAAACACTAAAGCTCACCCTCCAAGTAAATGGAAATCCTTCTTCCTTCCTATACAATTCACAAATCTGAGCAAACCTAAAAACCAGAAGTAAAAATCTAATATGCCTCTGACCCAAACCTTTTGATAAATTTACAACTGTTTTATCCTCAAAAGTTCTACCTCCATCATGGCTAATTCAGAAATATGTTTTGCTATGCCCAAAGGGCTACAAAAATGTGCATACCCTTTGATCCAGCAATAGCACTTCTAGGGTTATATCCCAAAGAGATCAAACAAATGGGAAAAGGACCCATATGTACAAAAATATACACAGCAGCTCTTTTTGTGGTGGCAAAGAATTGGAAATTGAGAGGATGCCCATCAATTGGGGAATGGCTGAGCAAGTTGTGGTATATGAATGTAATGGAATACTATTGTGCTGTAAGAAATGATGAACAGGCTGACTTCAGAAAAACCTGGAAAGACTTATATGGTCTGATGCTGAGTGAAGTGAGAAGAACCAAGAGGACTTTGTACACAATAACAGCCACGTTATGCAATGACTAAGATTGTTAAACTGAACCTTTCTCAGCATTATGAGGATCTAAGACATTTCCAGAGGCCTCGGGATAGATAATGCTGTTCACATTCAAAGAAAGAACTATGGAAGTCGAATCGCTATCACTTATTTTTACCTTTTGTTGAGTTTTGTTTCATCTTTCTGTCTTTCTGATGGTTCCTCATATTGGTTTTAATTTTTACTTACAACTTCACTAATGTGAAAATATGTTTAATAGGTATGTAAATGTAAAGCCTATATCAGATTGTGCGCCATCTTGGGGAGGGTGGGGGGAGGAAAAGGGAGAAAAATTTTCAACTCAAAAGCATATGGAAAAAATAAAAAAATTTTAAATAAAAAAAAGAAACTCAAAAAAAAAACCAGAAATATGTTTTGCACAACTTCATATGTATAACAAGTGTTGTATCTCTTGCCTTCTCAGTGGCTTGGGGATGGGAGGGCGGGAAAGAATTTGGAACTGAAAATAAAAATAAAATTTAAAAACATTCTAAAAACAGAGTTCTTTATCTACAAAATCAGAAAACAACATGTTTATCATTTCATGTTTATGATGAGAAGTTAGAAGCAGAGACTATGTAAGGATATCTTCAAAACATTTATTTCAAAACAAGAATTAAAATATAACTAATTTTATGTGAATACTACAAACTAGGACTAGTATTAAGACTATCAATGCACATAGGCAAATTATGTCTATAAAAATTAAAATTTATTTTAGTTTTCTGACGTACTCTCAAAATTACCTCGGGAAACAAAATACAACGATGCTTCCAATCAAAAAAACATAAAACTAAAGTAAAAATCATTACATATTGCTCAAAATTCTGATGGGGTGCTTGTGTTTGGGTGCTTGTGCTTGTAGTTGGACCCCAATTTCTCCCTAGCCTTAGGAACACTATCCCTGACAGTTTCTCCCCAACCCAAAGACAGTGTGCCTAGCAATTATTCATGAGTAGGCCCCAGCAAGACCCTTACCTCTTTCCCTGGTGCAGTTACAAACAGCACCTGAAAGAATTATTAGTTTGAACTGGCTTTTGCACTGGGTCATAAAGATATTCTTACCCTCTGGACTATCTATACTACCACCTACCTCATTTTCTACATCCTGGGCTCCTCATTATCTGTATTCTAGACCTAAGATATATGTATACTCCCTACATCTATCTAGTCAAACAAGACATTGACTGGTGGCAGACTGGACAACTCTCAGTTACCCCTGAACTCTAGTTAACTTAGTGATGTAGCAGGCCTAAAACCACACCTCCATGTGGGTGGGCTTTTCCTAGTGAGCTCTTGGTAAAACGTCTGCACAGTAGGTACAAGAAGTGCATGTTCCTTTAAGAACTGGCCACTCCTTAACCACTCCCTAATCCCACCCTGAATCACCAAGTTAGCATATTTGGCGCACATTTTATTGTATTTTATCCTATATAAACTTTAACTGTACCCCTCTAAGGTTGCAGGTTCCTTAAGAATCCTTGCCCACTAAAAAGCTTAACAATAAACTTTTTGCCAACTTGACTTAAAGAACGCTTGAGTCTGTCAATTCATTCCAAACAACCATGTCATGTACTTCAGTCTTTGAGGGGTCACAATCTCTCAGACCTCAACAATTCCAGTAAAAAAAACTGTTTTTTAATACATCCTGAAAAGAAATAGACTTCATAACTTTATAGTTGGAATCACCATGTATACCATATCCTGAACAACAAAGGATCATAATCTTAATGAATCACTGATACGGCTAAACTTTTACTGGCTATACTTTAGAGATAGCCTCAAACTGAACACAAAATAGCAGTTGAATAGCAGTCACACAAAATAGAAACACAGTGGCATGGTCTTCATTAGAGGACCCTCCTATCCTCCTCCACCCGCCAAAAAAACGCAGCAGTTACATACAAATAGGAAAAGGTTTGCATGCCCTGAGGATAGGCACAGTCCCCCAATTAAGTGTCCTCTCAATAAGTTAGGTGGCCTTCTTCCTCTCTACTGTTACCTTCAAATACAATATAAAACAGAATTTCAAACATTCTCTACAATCTAAAAAATCAGATTTAGAATTGGGTAGCTAATAGTCCACACTCCCAATTATATTCTATCTATTTTAGGTTGTCTTACTTGAGCTACAACATAAATCATGAGCTAAAATACTGAATAATTATTGGATAAGAAATAAATGTGAGATTTATCAAAAGTAGCAGAAGAGACAGGCATTTTTAATATGATTAATATTGAAAATAACAAAAGACAGCATGGTTTAATGGACAGAAAGCCAAAAAGAAGAGGGTTCAAATCCAACCTTTACCTCATCCTAGCTGTGACCTTCCTCAAGTCACTTAATCTCTCAGTGTTCTAGGCCACTCTCAAAAGCCCTGAGTTGAAGAAAAAGGACTAACCTGGAAGAGGGATGGCAGAGAAAATTTCCTCCCTGAGAGTCTGCTATCCTAATGAAATGACTAGACCAGTCCCTATGCCCTTATTACTAATATTTTGGGACAATGACCAAACAGTATTACCCTGCTGAAAAATCTGTAATAGTTCTATCACTGCCTTTGGACAAACAAATAAAAGAGATTCAATATATGCCAGAAATACACCATGAGCTTTTTCAGATTAAACAATCAGACAACAATAAAGAAACAACCTCATAATATGCAGTTTCTAGTGCCAAATCAAAGTGAGAATGAAGCTTCATGTGTTATGCCTGAGATCATTACACAGCAATCATAGAGCCAGCATATCTACATGAGAAATCACGCAAAGAATTTGAAGCTTTTCAGGTACTTTGAGCAGAAGATTCCTAATGCCAGGCTAGTCAAACACAATGTTCAATAAGCAACTTAAAAGCAGACAGGCAAAGCTATAAATACATATAACAAAAGTTTACAAACATTTAACAGAAAATAAAAGTCTATCGCTCAAATAAAGCTACCTCTCCCTACACCAAAAGTTTAATGCTAAAAATAATAACAGGGATATTAAAGAAATTAATGAAACATAAAAATAAAAATGGAATTTTAAATACCTGTCCGTTGTAAACACCCTCAACGGTCTTCTATCAAAATCACTTTCATATCTAAAGGTTGGGTCCATTTCTTCACTTCCTTCAGGACCACAGTTTGGTCTACAATATTGTTTGTCAAAATTTTTATCTTCTTTAAACCTATGGTATCTTCTACCAAGCACATCAACTTTGTCGGCAATCTCGTGGTGTTTTCTATCAGAAATGTCTGCTTCATTAGATTTTTTATGCGGTTTTGCATCCCTTAACTCAATTTCATCATCCAGTCTTCGATATCTGTCCTCCTCCAATCGTCTCTGAGTTAAAAGCTCTTCGTAGGTCTCTGGAAGCAATGAAACGTCCTTTCCGGGGCCTTCTGGATTTTTGTTTGATGGCTGTATTTGCAAATGTAAATCGGACTTAACTTTACTGATAGTGGTTTTATTTCCTTCACTTTCATGCTGTCCAATTTTTTTTAAAAAAGTAATGCTCACTATAAGAGAGTAATTATTTAAATTGCAATAACTATAACTCTTGCTTCTACTTACATTTAAAACAACTCTGGCATTTTAATACATAAGAAAAAAATATCATATTTAAAAATATTAAATCCTCCCAAAAGAATTTCTACAGAAACCAAAATAAATTATGTGTGTGTGCATGCATACACATATATAAAAGAACTGATAGAGGAGATTAAATATAAATATAACCACAATTTCAAAAGGTCATACATCTTAACTGCTAAATATTTTTTTATTTCAAACTAGGCTATATTTAGACACAGAGACTACTGAAAGTGAGTAAAACCTGCTGATCTGATTCTTATGAAATATACTTAGTCTTTAAAGAAAATTTAAAAGTGAAGTTTATTAATTTAAACAGATATCTAAAAAGAACTATGCAACTATATAATCAAACAGAATAGATTAAGTTCTTATAAAAAAAAACAATAATGCCGAATGAAGCTTAGTACTTCCAAAATTAAGGCAACTAATTTCAAAATAATTTGAGAGAAGGAGGGAGAGAATAAGATTAAACACCTACTATGTGCCAGGCACTATGGTAAGCACTTTATTAATATTTCATTTGATCCTCACAATAATTCTGGGAGGTAGATGCTATTATAATCCCCATTTTACAGCTGGTGAAACTGATATAGACAGAGGTTAAGTGACTTGCCCTAGGTCAAAAAGCTATTAAGTATCTGAGCTGGATTTGGGCTCAGACCTTCTTGACTCCAGAACCGGAGCTCTAACTATTGTACCACACAGCCGCCTTGAATTAAAATTTAAATTAATTTGAATTAAAATTACTTTGCTATAAATTCAACTCTATAAAACCCTAAATTATGGCAGGTCTAATTATTTTTATCCTTATTTTTTCAATGTTCAAACTATATATTTTTTAAGTAAAAGGATCTTCTAAACAATTTTACAAAACCTTGAAAACTATTTAAAAACAGCTAAGAAGTGTGTCTTTAGTATATATGGCCATATTTCATTGACTTCCAACCCAATAATTACTCTGGTTATAAGCTATAAAATCTTTTTTCTTGGGACACTGCACTTGGGGATGTCCTTCCCAATGCCCGAAAACCTCCTTACCACATTATCAGGGAAAGCAGTCTGAGGCAATTTAAAATAACAAGAACTAGCATTTATATAGTGTTCAAAGTTTGCAAAGTATTTTAAAATATTAACTGATTTGACCCTCACAACAACTCTAGGAGATAAGTATTATCATTATCCCCATTTTACAGATGAAGAAACTGAGGCAGGCAGAGATTAAGCAAGTAAATGACTAAGGCTGGATTTGAATTCAGGTCTTCTCGACTCTAGGTCTACCACTCTATCCCACTGTGACACCTTGCTACCTATCCCACACAACTGACAACAGAGGCCATAGGGAAAATTGAAGGTAAGTGTGTAACCCAGGGTCTTTGAGCTTCTATGGCCAATGGAGGTACAGACAAGCTCGTGCAGTAACCCAGAATATGTAACTCCTCTCATATCCCCAAAGTGCCTCTGTCTTAACCCTTTTTGCATCATACATCCCCTTTAGCTGTCTGGGGACACCTACGGGCCCTCTTTAGCATGTTTTAAAATGTATAAAATACACAGGATTACAAAAGAAACCTTATATTGAAATACAGTTATCTATCTACATGTGTACACACACACACACACACACACACACACACACACACACACACACACCACACACACACCCTCAAGTTAAAAAGCCCAGCTCTATACCAAATTCTATAGTGGATCACAGTTATTTTCACAGTGTAATGTCTCCTTTCCAGAAGGAAACAGGGGAGGTGATTCAAAAGTGGATGACAGTGTATAACTGAACTGGCTCATAAAGGGGTGGGATTATGAAGGGGGAACACTACAGCCAAAGCAGCCTAATAAAGTACTAGGGCATAAAGGCACTGGAGATTACAATGAGGACAAAGAATAAGGTTAGGAATAACATACATAGGAAAAGATGGGATGATAAAATATTACAACCAGATAAATGAATTCATGAACATGGAAATAGAATATTTGTAGGTCATGACAAGATCGAGATTACAGCCATTCCTGTATGTAGCTAGAGGAAGTGTAGGAGTCTATCACTGGACTGGAGCTAATTAAGAAATGGCAAGTTAAGAGTATGTAACAGAACACGAATACATACATTGAAGTCCCTTAGTATGAAAGCAGGAATTTGAGTAAAGAGACAAACAGTGAGGCAGACACTAGTAATTAAGAAAGACAGGAGAATTGCCAGTGGGTCAGTAACTAACAGCCACCAGGAATTGTGTCAGGTGATAAATTTAGATTCAGTGAACCTCTCTGAAGGAGAAACTGCAGGTGATAAGTGATAGAGGGAAAGTTTAGATGTGACAATGGGAACAAGGAAGAGTCCAATGCCCCACCACCATGTAGGGTATTAAGAAGTGTAGCCTGTACTGAAAAGGGTGGCCAGAGAAGCACCAGCCTCCAGAGGGAGCCAGATCTCAGCAAGTGCCAGAAGATGGAAAGAGGAAGAGATTTAAGATGACACAAAGTTTGTTCATGATGGAGCAGATATTCTAAAAGGCACAATAGAAGGGGTAGGCAAATCTACAGCAGTGTTACTGCTGGAAAATGAGAGTGAGATAGATGATAAATAATTTTTTTAAAGTTGCTATAGCTGAAAAATGCATAACCCTGTGTTTAATTTAGTGATGAGTGTCTTTGCATTTAGACAGTCTTATACTCAGATGACAGTCTGTTGTAGGGTATGTACTCCAAGCATTCCCAGATTCGTAGGACATGCTAGAACTTATACACCAAGTGGCATGATGCAGTCACCTTTATGACATGATAATACAAAATGGTAGGACTTCAATAGCATTCTATTGGGTATTTAATAAATATTTTTTGATTTGAGCTGAATTCTGTTTGTAAATAGGGGACCTCATAAGGTACTTTTTCTCTGGTCTCCTTGTATCTGAGGCTGAGGAAAGGTATTTGTTCTTCAGTAGCAGGAGTTAAGATGGAGAAAACAAAAGGAAGAGGGAGTATATTAACCATTGAGAAAAATGAGTACAGCTGAGCATCAGTGCACAGAAAGAAATTAACTGAGGGTCCACAATTACATGATTCAAGGTCATCCCTACCAAGTGACCTCATCACTGGTAGCGGTGCTGTGTCCTGTGAGGCCTCAGGGAGCTCATTCGCAGCAGGCAGAAGGAGGTTTCGCCTCAGGAGTCTTTAAAGCAGATCAAGAGGTAGTTTTATCCCAATGCCTCATCTAAATTAATTTTTTTTTTAATATTTTACAGTATTGCTCCAAATACAGGGTATAATTATTTTTCAGCATATGGCTATGTGTCTTGTTTTTTTTTCCTTTCAAAGAAAACATTTTACGGACAGTCTGAAGCAACAGGCAGAATCACTACAGATTTTGACAATTTGTAAATTTTGGATGTGTCTGACAGATTTGTTTTAAGGTAAGTCGTTTGTCTTCAAAAGATTTATATTAATAACTTCGTAAAAATCTTTAAAGGACAATCATTTTTACAGCATACTAAAAACTGATAAATATAAAAAGTTTGTTTCTCTAAAGAAATTATTTCAGCAAAACCTACCTCTGGATCTTTCTTCTCCACTTCTCTGAACTTTTCCTTCCATTCTTCCTTGTCCCTGAGAAACTGATTGTACTCTTTATTTCTTTCAAGTTTCAATCTCTCCTTAAGACAGATATCAAAAAAAGTCACAATTTTAAACTTTATGGAAAAGATGAACAACTTTATGAAAGGATTCTCATTATATTAACATCACTAAGTTTATTTTGAAACAGTGCAAAGATGACAAAAAATGAAATCCAAGTGAGAATAAATTTGTAACACAAGCCAAAGTAAAATAATGGAAAAGATTCTGTTCAAACAATATGCACTTCCTATTTAAGAAACATCTTTAAACATTACTTTCCACATTTTCTATTAAAACACTGAATTTGAAAAAACATAAATAAATTAAAAGCAAATAAATTACATAACTGGACACTATCCATTATATATTTCATATTTAGCATATTTAGTAACCAAATATGTCTTCTTGCATAACAAATACTGCACTTCTTCTGAATAATAATGATGTTTGATAAACCAGGCACAGTACTTTGGAATACTTCTAGGATGATCTGTGCCACAAGTGATATCTAACAATAAACAACTACCATCCTGTGAGTCTTATCCAGCCTAGTTTCCATTCCCACCTCTCTACTGAAAATTCTCCAAATCCACTCACCTCTCAACTGCTAACCCTAATGGCTTTTTTCAATCCTCAGTCTTACTGGCAGTTTGATAGTTAAATGATTTCTGTACCATCTAACACTGTTTGCAGCTCTTCCCTCCTCCCTGAGTCTCCACCCCACCCTACCCCCAACCATAAATCTTTTCTTCCGTGTCTGTAACACTGATCTTGCCAGTTTCTTCAACCTGTCCATAACAATATCCTCCAAGAGGCAAAAGAATTTTAGAGGTGGAAGGGGCCCAGGCAGACATGAAGCCCCATCAATGCTTGGACCATGAATCCTCACTTCAGCATCTTCCTTCTCTTGCCCCCTAAATGTACTTGATTTCCAAAGCTCTGTCCTCAATGCCTTCCTATCCTAACTCCATTTGAGATCTAATGCAGAGTTCTCCTATAGCAATATATCCATCCCAGATCTCTCCCTTGAGCATTCCCAATTACATTATAAATGTCTCCTTCTGGACTCAATGTTCTGTCAAGACCTCAAATACAACAAGAATTCACTGAACCCACCTCATAACTTCTCTATTTTTATTGCAGACAGCATTCCAATCATCTAGACTTGAAACTGCAACATCATCTTTCATTTTTCCCTCTTCCTCAACCCAGTCATTTAATTAGCTCTCAAGTCCAGTTGATTCTACCTTGACAATACTTCTCCCATCTGTTCCACTTTCACTAACACCAATCTAGTTCAGTTCCTCATCCTTACTGCCTAAACTTCACTGAATATCTTAACAAGCTTTCCTGACTCTAGTTTCCCCTCTTTCAATCCACCCTCTACATATAACTGCTGAAATAATCTTCATAATGAACAAATCCGAACTTGTCACTCCTCTGCTCAAAAACTTTCATAGGTGCTTTGTTGTCTATAGGGTAAAACTTAAATTCCATAGCCTGGCACTTAAGACACTCCACAATCTAGCACAAATCTACCTTTCCTGGCTTATTTCATGTTTCTTAATCAATAAACAAACACAGATTAAGCATCTACTATTTGCTGGGCACTAATTAGGGATACAAATGCAAAAATAAAAAAGTTCCTGCAATTCAAAGAGTTTTTATTCTATTGGGAAAGACAACTTGTGTCTGTTTGTGTGTGTATACACAGATACACACACACATATATATACATATATATATATATATATATATATAGACAGACATACCATATATGTAGTATAGATATACACATGCATACACATATATGGACATGTGTACGTATTTATACACATGCATACATACATAAACACACACAAACACATACAAAATACATAAATAATTTTGGAGGTGGAAGGCACTAGCAGGTGGGAGATTAGGAAAGGTTTCATGTAGAAGGTGGCACATAAACTGAGTGATCCTTCACAAACTTTTTATTTTGGCCAACCTAGATTATTAGTTGTTGGATTCATTCCTTCTATTTGTAGAGTATGTCTTTTATGCTTGAAATATACCCTCTGTTTCACATCTCTTAAAATTAAATCATTTTTCTATAAAATACAGCTCAGGTGCCACTTCCTCTGTCAAGCCTTCCCTTAGCTTGTCCACTTGCCCAAAGAAAAGTCATCTTAAATTTTTTAAGGAGGCTTTATCAAAATTTCTCTTCGCCCTTATCACATTCCACATAGTGACACACTTATGCTGTAGGTCCCCACGACCACCATCCCCACCATCGTGAGACTCAATATTGTTTTTTATCTTTGTATCCCCCAAAACCCAGCATAATGCCTTCTTGCATCTAGCAGGTATTTAATTATTATTTAATTTAAATGAATTCGAATGCAAAGTAAGCATCCAAATACACCCAAAATTTCAACCTATATAAAACACATAAGTATGCTTTCAGCACCACTCTTTTCAGTCATAAAGAAAATAAACAATTCTTAAATTCTGTATATCTTAAGTTAAATATATATTAGTGATATGAAGCATTTTTTATATATGGTGGTTAATAGCACTTCTTTTAAAACCATTCATATATCCTGACTGTGAGAAAATGACCCTTAATTTTATACGTTTCAAACCCCTACATCCCTATAATTATATATTTAGATGGCATAAGACACGATCTGTGATTTCTTTGGCAAGTGGAATTCCCACTGAAGAAATGTCACTTTCTCGGCAATTCATAGTCATTTTAAGGAGTTGCCTGGGACAATGGTGAAGTTAAATGACATGCCCAGGGTCATAAAGCCCTGGTATGGAGAGCAAACTTAAACCTCATACTTTCTGACTGACTCCAGCTCCCTATCCACCACATGTGGCTCTGTCTTCTCAGTATACTGTTCCCAGAGATGAACCAGAGGCTCTAAGAAAGACAAAGAACTGGATTTCTGAGAGTTGGGATGAGAAAAAAGAAGGGAGTGAGGAGCAGGAGTCTTGCTAAATAATCTAAGTGGCAGCAGCTATGCTTACGTACCCATATCCATCTACAAAATTATCTACATATGTATACACACATATATAAATAAAAGACAACACGGCATAAGTAAAAGACCTAGATCCAAATCCTACCTCAGACACTAGGCAAGTCACTTGACCTCTGTCCCTCAGGCAACTCTCTAGGATTAAATCATAGACTGGCAGTCATATGCCTTAGTGGAATAAGTTCCCATATCAGGAGTTTACAACACAGAGGAGATCAAAGAACCTCTGCATTTTCATATACATATACATCTCATTGTGTGTACACACACAGGTGCGTGTGTATGTGTGTGTGTGTGTGTGTGTGTGTGTGGTTATCAAAGAGGCTTTTATGGTGGGAGAGATATATGAAGAAACAACTGTAGTATAAAAAAGATAAAAGGTGTCAATCATTATAACTTCAAAAAAGGAAAATGAAAATCAAAGATTAATTTCAGAGTTATAGAAAATGAAAAGAAACTGGTCAAAGAAAGAAAAATGTTTTTCCACATTATATGACCAGAAGTAATTTATATTGTTTCTAGTAATCCAATTAAAGACCCAAATTTGTCCAAAGAAAAGCAACATATCTCAAATAGCTTTAATTTTTTTTTGGCTTAGATTTAAACTAGAAATACATTCTTTAATAATTTTGATTCCTTACTAAGGCTGAACATTCGCAACAATTAACCTACCTTGGCAGATAACCTCTCACCAATAGGAAGAGATACTCCCAGATTAGATGGATCTGTTTCACTCGTAGCCACAAAATTTTTCTGTATTTAAAAGAAGAACCGATTTAACTTTTGATCTTGAATATTTCATTTAATAAAAAAGCTTATTTATATACTATATTCTATAATACTATTATTGGAGGTCAAACTCCTGAGAATAATGGCTCAGTAGCATGGACCCTTAATCTGGAATTTGAGGACCAATTAGAATCAGAATTAGAATCCCTGCTCTGCTACTCACTACCTATGAGACCTTTAGAAAATCATTTACTGTCCAATTATTGGGTTTTATTTGCCTCCTCTGAAAAGTGAAGGAGCTGAAGCAGGTGATTTCCAAGTTCCCTTTTCACTCTAATTCCTATGATATTAAAATGTAGATTAAGAAATACAAAATAATTAGAAAAAATAAAGAAAATTTTGTGCTATTTAGCAATTGACCAAACAAAACAGACGTTCTTATTTTTCACACGTCATGGTATTCAATTCAAGGACAAAAAAAAGGAGTCTGCTTTTCAGCACACATTCCTTTGCCAACCATATATTCCTCCATTATTAGTGTTAGTGAGCTATATTTCTTTACTTGAGGCCACAAATTTCCTTATGCATACTGCAATGACTTCCTTGGGGTTTTTGTTTTGGGGGGGGAGAAAAAGAAGGAAAGGGAGAAGGGGAGGGAGAAGAAGGAAAGGGAAAGGAAGAGTGAACAGATATATGCATTATTTAAGCATTATATATGAATTATATATATCTAGTCATGGAGTGTTTATGGAGTAGTACCTTGCCACAGATTAACACTAAGATGACACTAGAAAGAGGGCCTGAGTTTGGGGGTCCCAGGATCCACAGCAGATTGAGTGGGAGAGGGAAAGAGGAAGAGAAATACCAAGTGTGAAACAATTATAATTACAATAGGAAAAAAAGTAGAGTTCTTATATCCACCTACTTGCAGTAGCCAATTATATTTCTTAAGAAACCTAAGCATGGTATGTCCAAATTACAGACTGTGCACACAGATATTCCAACAGACTCCAGTACGGTACCCTTGTTTCTAGGTCAATCTCCTTTCCAACTGATTCCATAAATGACTATCTAAACTTACTTCAATATGGCTCAAAGATTCTTGATTTCATCAGTGTGCATATACAAGTTCCACTAATATACACAGTGTTAAAGTAGATGGTTCCAAGAATTAATATGACCAAAAACATTTGCTTCACAAATAACCTTTCAGTGAGGAGAATACCCAAACTTAGCTAAGTAGACACCCAACACCCAAAGAAAAAATATTCAACCTATATCCACAGATCCACATTTGTAGTCTTTTTATCTATTTATAAGCTTCCTAAAACTTGCACTCTGCTATTATAAACTTTGAGCATCCATAGGCAGCAGCAAAAAACTAGAGTATGGCTTTGGTAGGAGAAAACACTAAACACTGCTTCTATCGTATTATTGCACTAAAATATCTACCTAACACTTGCTACCTTAAATACACACACACACACACACACACACCACACACTCTTTCTCTCTCTCTCTCTCATCCAACTTACTTCCCACCAATATCCAGGACTCTGTCAGGTCTTTCTTCTTGATGTCCCCGATACATGCTATGTTAACCAATTCCTATTTCCATTACTTTATTCCTTATTCTACTCTACCAGAGTGCCCTACCTTCTACCAAGCCAAATTTAGTTCATTTTGTTTTTTTTTTTTATTCGGACAGTTTTTCCTTTATGTAAGTGGACCATTTCACAGACTCTACGTAAAGCAATTTTTGCACGATGTGAATTTGCACGTGGATGTGGGGAAAGAAGTGGGCCACCCACTTGTGGAGGGAGGGTGCTAGCACATGGTTCAGGGACATATAAAGGCTGAGGATAGAGAAGCAAGAGGAGGAAAAAGAATATTCAGGGTCTGGAGCCAGCCACATCGGGGCCTGGTCGGAACCAAGGGGAAGAACACATGGGGAAGAGATATATAGACGTCAGACACAGATACAGACACAGACACAGACAGGAGAGAATGGACGACACATGGGGGCCAGGTACAGACATGCAGTACCTAAGCACAAACAGAAGACAGACACATGGGGAGCTGGACACATCGCAGAACAGGGCAAAGGTCTCCTCTCTCGGCACCAGAGGTCTCAAGCCAGACCCCAATCCCACAGCAGCAGTAATGTCAGACTCATTCTTCTGCTTTTACATGGAGGGTTTTTGTCTTTTTTTTTTGGTGGGGGGGAGGAAGCCACAGAATACCAAGCCAAGGCACAGGGGCAGAGAGAGAGAGAACACAGTACTGTTGTTATTGTTGTTGTTGTTGTTTGTCCATTTTTGAAGAGGACAAATGACATCACAGATGAAGTCTTGAGTTGCATGTGAACTGGATAAGTGTCAGGCAGAGTTGCACGATGTTGTCAGCCTCACTCTCTCTTCCTGAGTCATAAATGTCCAATGGCAGGACTAAAAGTCAAGACAACTGGTGATGCCCCAGGATGCAGTGGATGACCGTGACATCTTTGATGTTCAACCAAGCTCTAAGCACTCCATAGTACCAGCTTCAGCCACCTTCATGGCCATTGGAGCAAACTGTTCTCATCTACTCATTCCACTGGGGAAAGACTTCATATGCTTGGGGTATACATTCCCCTAACTCACTGACAGGCTTAAGTTCTGTCAGGTATCCTCAACCTGGTTTAGCCAGTCTTCCTAGACAGTTTACCTGAATGTAGCCACTACACATGCTACAGTTTCTTGGAGCCACAGGTGAAAGTGGGGTAAAGGTGGACACCAAAGGTAGATGATCAGTCACAAAAAAGGCTTGGCAAGCCCTTACATCAGAGGTGCTAGTCCTCCCTAAACACTCCATACACCCCGTACAGTAAAGTTAACATTGTGGATTTTTTGGAATGTGGGTTTCTTTCAGAATTCTTAAAGTCAAATTTGCATAATGTAAGGAATTATAACCAATAGGAGGAACCATAAGAAAGAGGAAACAAAACAAAATAGAAGAAAAAAAAGAGCAAATAGCATGCTTCAATCTGCATTCAAACTCCACAGTTCTTTCTCTGGATTTGGATAGCATTTTCCATCATGAAACTTTTAGAGATGTCTTAAATCCTTGCATTGCTGAGAAGGGCTAAGTCTATCAAAGTTAGTCATCCCAGAACATAGCTGTTACTGTATACAGTGTTCTCCTGGTTCTGCTCACTAAGTCTTTCCAGGTTTTTTTGAAGTCAGCCTGTTCATTATTTTTACAGCACGATAGTATTCCATTATATTTATATACCACAACTTGCTCAGCCATTCCCCAATTGATGGCCATCCTCTCAATTTCCAATTCTTTGCCACCACAAAAAGAGCTGCTATGAATATTTTTGTACATGTGGGTCCTTTTCCCATTTGTATGATCTCTTTGGGATATAGCCCTAGAACTGCTATTGCTGGGTCAAAGGGTATGCACATTTTTATAGCCCTTTGGGCATAGTTCCAAATTGTTCTCCAAAATGGTTGGAGCATTAGTGTTCCAATTTCCCCACATCTTCTCCAACATTTATCATTCTCTTGTTTTGTCATGTTGGCCAATCTAGAAGGTGTGATGTGGTACCTCAGTGCTGTTTTGATTTGCATTTCTCTAATCAGCAGTGATTTAGAGCATTTTTTCATATGACCATAGATGGCTTTAATTTCTTCATCTGAGAACTGCCTGTTCATATCCTTTGACCATTTATCAATTGGGGACTGACTTGTATTCTTATAAATTTGACTTAATTCTCTATATATTTGAGAATTGAGGCCCTTATCAATGACACTGGTTGTAAAAATTCTTTCCAAATTTTCTACCCTCCTTCTAATCTTCGTCGCATTGGCTTTCTTTGTGCAAAAACTTTTCAATTTAATGTAATCAAAGTTGTCCATTTTGCTTTTCGTAATGTTCTCTATCTCCTGTTTGGTCATGAATTCTTCTGTTCTCCATAATCTGATAGTAAATATTCCTTGCTCCCAGTTTGCTTACAGTATCAGCCTTTATATTTGAAATCATGAACCCATTTTGACTTTATTTTGGTATATGGTGTGAGATTTTGGTCTATGCCTAGTTTCTGCCATATGCTTTTCCAGTTTTCCCAACAGTTTTTATCAAATAGTGAGTTCTTATCTCAGACGCTGGGGTCTTTGGGTTTATCAAATAGTAATTACTATAGTCATTGACTACCGTGTCTTGCATACCTAACCTATTCCACTGATCCACCACTCCATTTCTTAGCCAGTACCAAGCAGTTTTGATGATTTCTGCTTTATAATACAATTTAAGATCTGGAAAGGCTAGGCCATCTTCTCCTGCATTTCTTTTCACTGGTTCCCTTGATATTCTGGACCTTTTATTATTCCTAATGAATCTTATTACTTTTTTTCTAGCTCTATAAAATAATTTTTTGGAAGTTTGATTGGTATGACACTGAATAAGTAAATTAGCTTAGATAGAATTATCATTTTTATTTATATTAGCTCAGCCTATCCATGAGCAACTGATGTTTTTCCAGTTATTTAGATCTGACTTTATTTGGGTGAAAAGTATTTTGTAATTTTGTTCATATAGTTCCTAGGTTTACTTCGGTGGGTAGATTTTTAAATATTTTATAATGTCTACATTAACTTTAAATGGAATTTCTCTATCTCTTGCTGTTGGGCTTTGTTCATAATATATAGAAATGCTGATGATTTATGTGGATTTATTTTATAGCCTGCAACTTTGCTAAAGTTGTTTATTATTTTCAAGTAGTTTTTTACTTGATTCTCTAAGTATGTCATCATATCATCTGCAAAGAGTGATAACTGTGTTTCTTCTTTGCCTATTCTAATACCTCCAATTTCTTTTTCTTCTGTTACTGCTAAAGCTAACATTTCCAGTACCACAATGAACAACAGTGGTCATAATGGACATCCTTGTTTCACCCTCAATCTTACTGGAAATGCTTCTAGCTTATCCCCATTACATATAATGCTTGCTGAAGGTTTTAGTTAGATGTTACTTATCATTTT